GAAGAAAAAATGTAAAGCATGTTATTTAAAAAATAACAATAATCACTGCTACTGCTGCTAATTCTAAACATTTACTGGGCCTTTATTATGTGCCAGGCACTGTGCTAAGCAGTTTCACAGGTTTTAACATTTAATCCCTGCAACAACACACTGATACTAGTTAATAAAGTAAAAGTATTAGAACTCTCAGAACAGAAATTTAAATTTTACAAATGATAATGCAAGCAAATTATTAAAGAAACCTTACCTTTTTTCTACCTTTCAGACTACACCTTTCAGTATTAAATCTCATTAAAACCACGTTCATTTTCAGGATTTTGTCTTCCACTTAAAGAATACTGTGATTCAACATGCTGACAATTATTACAGAAGAATCAAAAAACTCTGAACTTAAACACTGGCACAGAAAACCCCCACAAATCCTTCCATCCAACTTTAAAGACCTAAAAACTCTCCCCAGGCAAAGAAAAGAGAACAGCATACATGTATCAGGCCCCAATCATAGGCTTCTAAGGTCCATACTAGCGATCAGTAATGCTGTCATTATAAAGAGACCTATATCATCCCAGATTTACAACTGCTAAGTCAAGGTTTGAATATATATACACACATATACATATATATATTATCTTACATACCAATCTTACAGTAGCTGATAAAAACCACCACCAACTAATCTAAGGTAGGCTAAAACATTAAGATGTTTCTGAAGACTCACTTTAGGATATCAGGAGCATAATCACCATGATATTAGCAATCAAACTTTACTTAGCAGAAAGTTCTTAGAGGCTTAGGAAGCTGTGTATAAAATGGAGTAGACAAGAGGGAAGGGTTCCCTGTGCTGTTTAAATCAACTACAGGTCCCAGCATGCAACACTCTAATCTGGAGTTAAGAAAAAAAAAAACGCAATGCATCCTGGGACTTGTAGTAAGTAAACCACTTCACTCTACCACAGTTAAGTTTCAACAAAGTGCGACCTATCTAGCATAATTTGACTAGGTCTTATGATCACGGTTAGTCAAATTCAGATCTAACTTATTTGTTCTCTGCTCTGGCACAGTTTCTTTAGCACATAATGAAAAAATATCAATTTATATGTAGCTCAACATTTTCATATTAGAAAAACTTTATACAGGATGAGCACATAAAAGAAATGCTTAAAAAAAGAAATGCTTAAAAAGCAAAAAGTCTGATACAATTTTCAAATTACATTTTAAAACATAATTTTTGAAACAATTTTCTTAAAGTTTACTTAGATAAGTTTCAAAGCTCTCTATCCTATTCCCAAAATAAAAGTTTTGTTTTACCAGGTTTTCTCTTAACAGTCTTTCAAGTTATGTTTTATAAATAATTTTTCTTAAAGAAAATTCTCATAAGAAAACATTCCCACACTCTCCACTAGGAAATACATTCTTATAGTAATACCTACTCATAACACCATTATACACACCAAAGAACAGTAAGTTCCTCACTTGTCAAGTCCTTACTCAAAATTTACTCCCTCCACTTTCACACTTCATTACACACTTACCTATACATACATACACACACACACACACCCCTATTTCGGGAAAGAATACTTAGAAAAAAGTATTCCAGCTACAGACCCTTTTCTCTCATTCACTGACCTCTTCTAAAAACACAAAGATTTTCTTTAAAAGCTATCAATAACATGTCCAAACCCAGGCAGATAACTTGGAGCTACAATCTATGTTTATACCAACTCTACATTCACCCCCTATTTTCTGCAAGACTGAAGGAGGCTGGGAAAGAACTAAGTGCAATCTGCATCAGGAGGCCTAACACAGGTGGTGGGTTATTTTCAGGCAACAGCACCTTCACAAACATGCTGTGGAACACAGTCCAAGAAATTCCTAACAAGAAAAGATAAGCTGGCAAACAAATTTAACACAATCCAGCTAAAAATCACCTGCAACACATGCTACTACATTTCACCATAAAAGTGACAGGCTACAACAGGATCTGAAGCTTCATCAATACAACATACTGTCCATAAGGCCAGAGAGCAGTTGCCATGGTTACTATCACCCACTCTTATCAGGAAATTATTGTCATTAGTCTGAAGTTTTTGGTACTTATTTAAAATAAATAAACAGTTTAGGGTTCTGACTGTTAATTGAGTGAAAAAAATCAACTACTGTTTGATTTGCAAGTATGCTGTCTTAGAAATGCACATGGTTAACAATACTTGGATCTGCAGCAGAAAAAAATCAATTCCTTTCTGCTGCTCCTTCTCCTCAAGTACTGACAGTTTGTATTCTCAATGCAGCCAAAACAATAAAACAAAACCCATCTTTTTGGCTTCTGTGTTTAAGTTATTTTTCTCCCCTAGGCCCATAACCAGACTCAAAATAAAGCCTAGATCATCAACCTATTAGGCCCCATCCCCTTCCTATCTCCACATTACTAGTTCACTTTTTTGTCTACTTAAAAAAGCAGAAAAACACTTCCGTAGATTCCAAAATATAGGAAAACATAGTTTCCTTCAATGAGACCTGCTCACTACTTTTTTTAAAAAAGGGGGAGGGAGGCTTGCAGTGTATTGGAGGGAGAGAGAAATGGAAGGGTATTCAAACTTACAAACAGTGCCTAGTGTAGAAAAGTTGCTTTAGAAAAGCCCAAAGGATGACTGAACCTCACATATTATTTCTAAAAGGGAGGAGTTCACCACCACCGTAGTTTAAGACTGAACTGATAGATGGGTAATATAAAAGTCATTCTTAAAAGTCTATTTCAACATACTTACAAAAGACAAGTGCCCAAAAATTTAATATACGAATAAGAATTAGATGAAAGCTTATAAAATTACATGGCCACATATACACACAAACACACAAGGAAGAAAGCAAATGCTATTTAAGAAATAATTATCTATAATAAATTTAATGCAGTTTTAATAAACTACCTCTTTTAAAAAAATCTCCGAGAAGCAAAAATACACACCTGGTAAAGTTAGTGATCCGAATACATTGCTATGATCCTTAAGAATACTTAGAGCCTACAAAAAAGTCCATGTACAAAAGTTCTTGAAAAGTTAACATAAATCATTAATATTTCCCAGCACAGATTAATATGAAGATTCAAACATGTTTCAAGAAATGAGCTCTGAATATAGATATAAAGAAATTCTGTCAAAGGTTAGAGACCTAAAACTTTAATCTCTTCCTTTTCTCCCTTTGAATAGTAATTAAATACAAAAGCCTTTGGCAATAAGATACTAAGGATACAAAATTTAAAAGCACATTAATATAACCTTAACTTCAGTATTTCCTCAAGAAAAGCTTTAGTATTCACTGTCTGTAGGATAGAAAAGTTACTATTACCCTGGGCGGTTTCATTTTTATCTAAACAGTTAAATGTTTTTTCTCACTCTTCACAGAAGCCAGTTTCTATATTTAATTACTAATTGGGGCTATTTCATAAAGAACAGTCACTTCTAAAATTTAAAATATGCTCATAAACACGGGGACTTCTAATTATCTATATTTTATTTTATTTCGGTCAAAATTGTGAACAGTCTATTAAGAAAGCCACAGCTTAGGCTCTGAGTGTTAAACTTTCGAGTTATTTTTTACACAGAAATATTTCAGTGTACTCCTCTAGATTTGAGTAGTCATTTCCTCATGCATCCCTCTAACATGGAAAAAAATAAAAGGTAGACACATGTACCTTATACTAATGCATACAAGTGTACATCTTTTACACTTTGAAACAAGTTTAAAAGATTTAGTTAGTAAGAATTTTTCACAAAGTAAGCAGAATCAATCAAAACAATCAAAACCTTAACCGTGATGTCTGTTACTCTGTGTGTTAATAAGAGTCTACAGAAGAATCAAGCATTTAAATATTCACTAAAATCAACTACTACCAAATCAATGGAGAGATGAAGAAAAGCTTTGATAGGGGATACACATTTCACAAGATGTACAAAAGGAAAACTGATCTTTTTCTTGAATTTTGAGAAACTGCCTAGGCAGCATTTTTTAAACAAAGCTTCAAAACTGTAACAAAGAGCTTTTTGGTAACCACAGCAGTATTAAAAAAAAAAAAAAAATCATAAGGTGTTCAGGGTACACTTTTAATGTACTTATTTCCCAAATGCTATGAAGAAAGTTAACATTTAAAGACAGAAGCTTCTGTCCTTGTATTAATTAGTCACCAATCTAAACAACTTAACATCTGCATGGCTTCTGACAATTTACAAAGAACATTCGTATATATTATCTCATTTGATCTTACTGAGAAAAAAAGTACAGCATTATGCCTAGAAAACAGACAAAATTCAAAGCAGGTTTATCAAATTTTCTATACATTCCTAAGTTTTTAAACTTTGACATAAAACTTTAAAAGCCACCAAGTAGCATGTTATTTCCAGTGATAAATCAATTCACCTAACACTAACAAGAGTTTCAAAAGACCATGTGTTATAAATGCTAATGAAACTACTTTTATCTTTATGGAGTTATTGTTACTAATGGACATATCATCAGCAATGATTTATACCCACAGATAGAACTTTACTTATAGTTCAAGAATCTCAGTCTTTGGAGGCCAATTCAAATACACCAACTATATGTATTTATAAAGCTGATTGCCTAAGAATTTATCCATTAGGATAACTGTCCACAGACTTGAGAAAAAAATAAACACAAAAAGTGTAAAGTTTTCTCTATACAATATCTCCCTTTCCAAAATCTCAAGTACTCTAAATCCTATTTGTATTAATATTATAGGGATGATTACAAAATGTCCGAAATCATACCAACTACTTTTGTTTACAGCCATTGCACATAATACAAGACTAACTCCTCTTCAGAATAAAATAATTCTAACAGCACTCTGTAACTAGGCACAGCATCCTTAAGGTATCCACAATCACAAGTCTACTTTGTGTATTGTAAGCAAGTAAAAAGCAGCTGAAGATTTCAGTTTTAAATAACAAGTGTAATTTATTAATGGAATTTTTAAATGAACTTACTCAAAATCTTTCTGGAACTTTAGGGTGTTAATCCTGTTGCTTAGTTGAAGCTAAGTAGAGCTGTAATAAGTAGCAAGACCCTCAAAATTCAGAGATTTGCTTTATCTTGCTGTAGCACCTCCTGCTGGATAGCATTTAGAGCTCTTCATGTAATCAGAAGAAGAATATTTCTGAGGCAGCACCTTCCAGATGATTGAATGGGAAAAAGGATGGACCCTTCAAAGCTAAAAGAAATAGGGCCCCATCCATCACTTATACCAATTAAAAATAAAATCTGTCATAGGTAGGAGTCTTTTTAATCTATTACAATTCCAGTTCCATAAAGATCTGTCTGAGTCCAAAGTGCAAATACTTATAGAAAGCTTGTAAAATTATCTAAAAACTATTAAAAAGCCGTCAAAAAGCACTCAAGCAAAAGACTATTATGGCCAGGCAAGCAATGCCAGTCATATTGCAATAGTATTATGTTAACAAAAGCGAAAGTATGACATAAAGAAAAGCACCTGTAATATTTTTACTAGGTTAGCCAGAAGTTCATGTTTTGAGAATTTTCTGCACTATTACTATGCTCTTCACTTAAGGATTGTTGCACATCTACAGAAGTTTTAGGTACAGAATTTTTATAAACATGAGTAACTACACATAAAAATTTCCTCTTTGACATCAAAAGGTATGTCCTGATATTTTAAAATTCATTCTTCAGACACTTTAAATAGCCCCTACAGCTAGCTCACTTTAAGCCCATGAGGTAGATCCCATATACAAGTGGAGACAGAAAAAGAGAATAGGCAGGAACTTACCAAAATCAAAATGAATAATAGTATTTCCAGTAAAAATGGAGTAACAGTTTCCTACAAAACCGTGAAACCAAGTAAGTTGTGAAACTTAAAAAAGGGGGGAGGGGGGAGCTAGTCTTCAAAAACCAAAAGAAAAGCTGACCTATTTATTTCTACTGCCCAAACATGAGTGACCACCAAATGTAAACAAACAACAAACACTGAAAGTACACTTAGGTCTAAGCCCCAATTTCAGTCTCTTTACCAGGCCCTCAATGAAGCTACAGATACTGATGAGTCTCCTCTATAAAAGATATTCCAGCTCCCTGCCCTAAAGAACCCCTATAAAGTATGCCTATGAAAAGGCTTCCCTTCCTAGAGTGCACATCGCTTTAAAAAAAAAAAAAAAAAACTTTCATCAGCCCAAATTAATCTGATTATAATATTCAGCTATCAATTATTAATATATAAATGTTCTTCCTTCTCTAAAGTCCCCAGCTAAAGCATCCACATTCCTAACACCTACTATTAAAAATGAACAGCCAGCTCTTCGGCTATGGGGCAAATCTTTGAAATCCAAAACAGAGCCACAAAGTTCACTGTCAAGGCCAGTGCTGAGGCCCACACAGGCCCGGCCCTTAACTCACATTTGAAATTCTAGAGTGCCATACATGCAGAGACATCATTTAAAAACAACACAATGTGGACGTGCACAGTGAGATCCTCTACTTCAAGACCTAAACAAAGAATATTTCTACATATGACCGGAATATGATGACACCAGATTCATCAATGAAAACAAAACCTGCCTACCATTAGCAGCCGTATCCTCATCTCAACAACTCAACTACTTAGAAATCACTCTCGGCACATCTGCACCCCACAACCGGCCTACGGCCTTCTCCGGGGGTGCAAGCCACAGACAAAGTTGAAAGGAGACATTCTTCCCCCGGTGCCCAAATCTCGATATCAAGCCCTCCCCTACCAGTGCCACCTTGCTGCCGCTACCCACCATCGCGAACGTGGTCAGGGGGAAAAAAGAAATCCTAACAGCACCGCTCAGCAGAATAAAGAGACCAAAGAGAGGATGACGAGAAGTGTTGGGAACTGCGTGCACGACGGGGCTGGACCAAACGGAAAGAGTCCCACTCCGCG